AGACGGTAAATATTGGATAAACCCTGAAATTGCAAAGTTAAGAACATACAATTTTACCCAAGTCAAGGTTTTAGTGGGATAAAGATCAATAAATAAAAGAACACTATATTTTAAATCATCGCCAACGTTTCCGTTTTATTTTACACCATCTTCGGGGCTCTAAAATACAAGCCCTGAGGATGGTGTAAAATAACACCGAAACGTTGGCGATGATTTAAAATATAGTGTTCTTTCATTTATTGATCTTTATCCCACTAAAACCTTGACTTGGATAACTAATTAAGATCGCAAAACAGTGGAAACGTAATACAATTTTACCTCTTAAAACAATTAGTAATTTGTATACATAAGTTATTGCCGATTGTATAATCTAATTAATATTTGAATTTACTACAAAAGATGTACCGGTATTTGTAGTTTTTCTAGCTTCTTCCTATTAAACGCTTTTCCAGTCACATTTTAAAAAATATATTTTCCTGTTCCTAAATTATCCTTTGAATGTCTTCATAATTTAGTATTTAATATTATGTTAAAGAGGTGAGAGTGTATATTTTAATCCCAATAAATAATTATATTTGTTAAAACAATACAACAGTAAAATTTAAAATTTAATATAACTTGCAAATTTGGTAGGTACTGGCCATATTAATGTTGACTAGAATTTCGATACTATAATTTAATTTAAATAACAGTAGAGTACCTACTGTGTTGCAAACAATATATAAACTATTCAATGAAACACTCTGTTAAAGAGTTTTGTTTTGTTCCATTCAATTTTGTACTTTGACAATTTGTTAGATTTGTTAAAAAACTATATGGATCTTTAGGAGTAACCACAGACCACCTAGACTGGCTTATAGAGCGACTTTGGTGAAAACACTTTGGAGCCTGATTTGGAGCCCAGCGCTCAGTCGTGTCCTAGCATTTGATGTGTATGCATCGCTGTGATTTCGATAATTAGAGGTTTTATCATGATCAGTTGTATTGTAAAACATTGTATAAATAGAAGTGATCGAGTTGGTGAAGAGAGGCGAAAAGTTTCCTTCTTTAGGTAAGTAAAAAAAAGGAATATATAAAAGGTAAATTTGTACGCCATTTTTCGGTTAACGTCACAAGTTTCCAGGGTTAGCTTTATAATTTTGTTCGCCCACATAGTGTAGTGATTAATGTGATTTTGTTATTATAAAATAATGAATGAATTACTCTAAAATATTTTTAGTAATTATTTACTTTATGTGAGTCTTAAAATTTTATGAAATTTTACCAATTCCCGTCATTATGAGATAGCTGAAAATTAATTAAATATTTGTTTCAATTAAAAAAATCTCAAACAAAACTAATTTCAGATTCAGTATTCGTACAGTCCATTAATTTTTATTAAAGATCGTGGTTGTTTGACGTATCCATCTCGAGATGTCGTAGTAATATGCTAAGAAACATAAAAATTAATAAAATTATTAAATAATGATGAAAGCAGAACACCTACGCTACAGAAAAATAAAATTGTTTATCATGTATTAAAAAACTTTTTGAATGTGAACATATTTGAAAAATTGCATGAACATCAATTTGATAATTTGCCTAACAATTGTAATCATTTAATAGAACTTGTAAGGGCTGAATGTGAAAAGTATGTCGATGTACAGTCGGCGCCACCCAAATGTGAACGGCAATATTGTACCGTGTAATTTAAACTTCAAATCATAGTCGTAAAATTCAATAGTTGTCAAATATACATATATGTCATTTAGAGCAAACGTAATTAAATGTAAACCAGTAACGTGAAATATGCTGGAGCATTTAACTGAATCGTATAGAGCAAGGGCTATAGCTAAATTAGAAGATAATTGGTCTTCGAGTGAAGTGGCTGCTGATTTAAATGTCAGTAATAGTTGTATATTTTATATTAAACAACGCTGGCGAGAACAATAATTATAAAGATCTATCAGGCAAGGTGTCGGGAAGGTTTCCAGTGACGCGGAAGACAATGCCTTGGTCGAATTTATCCATAAGAATACCCTCTCTGTGTTACGCCACTAAAAAAAGTCTGATTTACTACGATAAAATCCAGATGAAATTTCCATAACTACCAAAATGCGTTCACATTTGGGTGGCGCCAACTGTACGAATAAATCATGAAGTCAAATTATTTAATTCGGTAAAATCTACGAAAAGACAAATATTAAATAAGTTAATATTATTTAGAGGATAATAAATATATACAGGGTGATTCTTTAATATTGCAAAAAATTTCAGGGGCAGGTTCTTTAGATAAAAATAAGAAAAAAGGTTCCCATTAGCATGTGTGCGGAAACGCTTCGTTTCCAAGATACAGGGCGTTCATTTTTTTTGTAATCTACTTTTAATACTTGTTATTTCAAAAGTCCTTTAACTATACGGTTAGGGCATCTGTCTTGATAGATGTCTGATTAAATTATCTTATCGTGTTCAAACAAAATGGCCCCAGTTGGCTTGCAAATTGGACTGCCCACCAACTGTAAATAATTGTTTTTTGTCAATAGTTGATTACTGTTTGTCACGTTGTGAGTGTAGGATGTAGGAGTGTTTCGTGTTTTGAAACTGATATTTCTCTTCAAAGAATGAATTACACAAATAATGAATTGATGCGATATGCATTTTGTTTATGGTCTTGCCGACGGTAATTCGTTAAGGGTTATTCCACTCTAATTGAAAATGTCGAGGAATTGGGAAATCGTATTGTTACAGCGTGTGAAACAATTCGGCACACCCCAGGCATTTTTTAACGTGTTCGTCAATCAATGCGTCGCAGGATCGAAGCATGTAGTGCAATTGGAGGTGGTCATTTTCAACAACTTTTATAACTTTACTTCTTCGCTGGTTATCATTAATTCCACCAATTAAATTTTTTCATTCTAATAATTCTTGCCTCACTATACATTAATACCTGGAATAAATAAGTACAGAGCAAAAGTTATTAAAATTATTATTTTTTTAACATTTTGTATTGTTATTTTGCATTTTGTTTTTTGTATTATGTTATTAATGATATAAAAAATGGAATAAATAAGTGCAGAGCAAAAGTTATTAAAATTATTATTTTGTAACATTTTGTATTATGTTATTAATGATACAAAAAATGGCTCCTATTATTAAACATAAACCAGTCAATTTTCAAATAAAGGGGTTAAAGGACTTTTGAAATAACAAGTATTAAAAGTGGATTACAAAAAATGAACGCCCTGTACCTCGGAAACGAAGCGTTTCCGGACACATGCTAATGGGAACTTTTTTTCTTATTTTTATCTAAGGAACCTGTCCCTGAAATTTTTCGCAATATTAAAGAATATAATATTTAATATGTAATAAAAATATTACTTAATCCGGATCTGCTTAAAGATGCGCGCGCTCAGATTGCCTTCCACACTCCACTTCCCCGGATTTTGCATTCACTGGTACCCGTGCATTGGAATTAGATACNTTGCCTAACAATTGTAATCATTTAATAGAACTTGTAAGGGCTGAATGTGAAAAGTATATCGATGTACGAATAAATCATGAAGTCAAATTATTTAATTCGGTAAAATCTACGAAAAGGCAAATATTAAATAAATTAATATTATTTAGAGGACAATAAATATATTTAAATTATTTTGTAGTTTTATTTAATATGACACTAAAATATACTATTTTCTGAATTACAAACTTAAAATTGAATATTTGTCATAAGATGCAATATAATGTTTAATATGTAATAAAAATATTACTTAATCCGGATCTGCTTAAAGATGCGCGCGCTCAGATTGCCTTCCACACTCCACTTCCCCGGATTTTGCATTCACTGGTACCCGTGCATTGGAATTAGATACGGCCAGTCTAGATGGTCTGTGGGAGTAACTAACAAATGCTTGAAATCGATATCTTCTGTCTTGAGGAAATATATTTAATTTTGTAAACTTCCCTTTATGAGTCTTTATAGCATCAAAGAGGAGATAAAACGAAAAATTGTAACATTATTATTTTGTAAAGATCTACCTGCCTATCTATTTATGACGTCACTTAAAAGAAAATATTAAGTATATATTCTTTTAGTCTGTATATGCTGTCATTGAATTTGAGTTAAATGAAGTTGTATATATTTCGGCTGCACCATTGAAATGGATAGACGCAGAAAATAATACATGTTTATGGCCACCAAAAAAAGGAACGGAGAGGAAGGAGATTATAAATAATGGAGATCCAAGAGAAGATTGGATTTCTCTGTCTCACATTAAAATATTAGGAAAATATGGTAATGTTGATAATAATTATGTTTATAATTTCCAAGAAAGTCAAATTGGAATATTTTCCATTTTACATTATACTTAATTTGATTCTTAACTAGTTATAACTTCCTATGAAGAGTGTGTTGTGTGGGTTTCGAATAAAATAATACTTTTTTAGCAACGTATAAAGAATCATTATATTATGAAAAAAAGAAAATTAATTCTGAAAGTGAAGCCACGCAAGAAGAAGAGACAAATGTAAAACAAAAAAGGAAAATAATAAAGAGTTCAAGATATAGGGATGACTCTATATCTCCACCTCCAATAATTGATGAAGGTATAATGAACAAAATTGTTTCTAATGTGTTGTCTACAATTTTGTGTAAATCGGTGTATAAAAAAAATTACCGAATAATTTTTATTTGTATTTCAGAGGATGAGTTGACATCTGACATTTCCACATCAGCATATTCAGATGAATTAGAAGAAAGCAAACGCCGTACAAGAGCAAGAAGAGCCCCTTTCAACAGCTCTCAAAATAAATTCGATAAAAATTACAGTTCAGGATGTGAAATAGGTCCTAATGAACATACCCATTTAATAAATCATAATGAAGCAGGGAACACACAAAATCAGTCTGTTGTCAATAAAAGTAGTTCCATTTTAGATAAAAATACAACTGTAGTTAACAACATTTTAGTTCAAGATAATATTTTATCTGAGGCTATTCTGGAGCCTCTAGAAGAGAATTTCGAATCTATTATTAATAATGCAGATGTAGTTATGGAAGATAGTAACTATGTAGATAATACTAAGCTTGATAGGCTCATAAATTTACTGATAGAAGTAAAAGTCCAACAAGAGATTATTTCAGAAAGACTTGGAAACATTGAAGCATTTTTGGAAAAAACAATGACAATTAATAGTGGCAATATTGCTTGCCATGAGTTAGAAAATTGTTTAATTAAATTTCCATTTCAAGATGTAGCTTCAATACAAGAATTTGATAACAAATTAAAGGACAATGAAAAACTTCAACAGTCTATGGTAGTCTTATATAATTTAAATTATCTATATGTATTTATATCTATTTTAATTTTCAGTTAAACTATCTACAGTTTATTGGAGGAACTACAAATAAACTTTGTATTAATAGATGTTTAGAGAAGGTTTTTACAAACTTTGTTGGCCAATTTTGTTGCTGGACTGGAAAGAGAGGAAACCTAAATGTGTCTGATTTAAAAATGATTTACATTGTGAGACGTAAGTATATTTTCTACATGATAAAATTTCTTTACTGCCAGAAATTAAGAAAAATGTCTTGCATGATTGTATGTATATTATGATAAGATATATTCATTATGTTTATTGCTAGTATTTTTTACCAGTTCTCTAATGTTATTTCAGCAAAAACTAAAAATATCTTACACTTTTAGAAGCCATTAGAATTTCATACCCACAAATGACACGATTATTTTGAAAGGCAAGTGATGACGTGGTTTCATCATTCAAAAACATGATTCCTCCGCCAAAGTAAGTACTTTACGTAAAAACTGTACAATATACAGTACAAATTCACAAGTTATTTTTTTTAATTCATTTAAAATACGTAAAAAAAATCACAAAATAATGCTTACATATAAAAATGGATATCAATAAAAAAAAATATTTTTCACCACTAGTACTGCTCGTAAAAAGTTTAATCTGCACTAAAGTGAAAATTTATCAGGAAAAATGATCAGGCGAACATTGTAAATTCGAATAACATAAAAATACAGTACCTTATTTGTCACTGATAGATTTTTTTTTTCAGATACACCTACTGAAATATAATAATTAAGTCTGAATTATACTGAAGTATAATAATTAATAATTATAAATAATTAAGAAGCATGTAGTCCCAGTTAATGTTTTTTGTTTTTTTTTTTTAATTAATAAAAGATAGAACTAATATGATTGAAGTGTTTTAATCAATCCCAAACTTTAAAATGTAACCATGTAATAAGTATATGTATAAGGCATCAAAATTTAAATTTTGAATAACAAATTTATGAAGAAACCTGATTCTAAATATACAATTTTTTGACGTCCACAGTTTTTATTCACTTGTAGGAGTAATAATATTTGTCCATATGTGCTTGTGTTTAGAAAAAAATATATTTGTTATCGACTTATTTTAATATGCATATTTAAGTAATAAGTACCTACAGAGTGGTCATCTTAGGTGTCTCAACTTTGTAGCTTTAATTTTGAGTTTGGAAAAAAACCAAACAAAAAACATCTTTCTGCCTAACAAGTTTTTGATTAAATTTATCACAAGTTTTCATGACGATTTACGGTTAGTTTTCAATTGCAAATTTTGCAAGTGCAATAGTTATGTGTGGCAGATTCACGTTTGCAGCACACTTGCTTCAGATTCACGTATTACTCTCTAATAAACTTACATTTACATTTGAAAATTAATATTAAATTTACTAGAAATTTGCATTGCTCAGTGGGGAGGATTTACTGTGTCATAATAATGGCAATTATGACGATTAACGAAATCATTTTTATGAAAAGTAGCCTCAGCGGAGAACATGACCCGTTTAAAAAAATCAATCAATCAAAATCTTGATTTAACATCTCAAGTGCCTACTGACAAAACTCCAGTCTCCGCTGAAAATCTACTTCTAGTAACTCTTGGTGTAATTGGATGCGATAAGGATGATAACTGTGCTTTTGTAAAATCCTATGTATCGACGTTGTATGTACCAACACCCGTTGTGTGATTAATTTGTCGTACACTTATTTGCGGGTTTTCCTGAATACACCCCAGCACAAAAAATTCATTTTCCTCCGTAACTACAGTTTTATGGCGATTTCGTTTTATATGTCGAATATTACCAGTAAAAACCTATCAAGCAGTAGTTGAAAGGCTTTACGCCGTGGATGTGGTCGGTTTGGATAGCGCTGAGCATAAATTCGTGATGCCAATAACGGATTTCTGTCGCACTCACCGAGGACAAAAAACATATTAATCGTTTCTTCTGCGTCAGCGACATTTTGAAAATGTTATAATACATTTTTACTCTCTATTTGCGCTGACGCTACTTTTTCGGACTTTAAAAGATAACCTGTTTTTTTTTCTGGAAAACTGTTAGAGATAAGTATAGACAACCTTATATCAGTCGAAAGGGCATTCAATTTTGCATTCACCCATGACAATTAATATGGGTCATTCCATTTGAAAAAAAGGTATAAAGGTGCCTCCATGAAAAGTGAAACACAATATACCTACATAGACTGCATCGTATTTTAAACACAGTATTTTTGTTTATTTAAAGAAAACTAAAAGCCTCATAAAGCTGTATTCATCAAGAGATTCTGTACGGGTATACATGGATATGGATAGGAGATGCTAGACATGCGCTCCGACGAATAAAATAAAGAAGGGCGAGAACTTCGAGTCAGTACATAGGGTGCTCTAATCGGAAATTCGTCACAGTTTTCAAGTTTCATCGATTTTAAATTCGTGTGTTGCTGCCCTAGTCGGCATACATATATTTATGAACATTAATACGTTTACTACCAAAATAAAGCGATTAAAGGCATTAACAAAATATATTCAATATCAATTCTTAATGTCACATAAGTGACGTAATATTTTTTCGTATTGTGTTTTATAAAATATGTGTGATGAATATTAGAAAATTTATTTGTGATAAACAATGTAATAAGAGTGTTAATAATAGATACTAATATATAACTAAATATAGTATTTAAAATTATTTTTAGTGGTAGCTGGTGGTGGTGGTGTAAAAAATTATTCTAACATTTCTAGTCACTTCAAAAATGCATTTCTTCTGGACGATGCTTCTTACTGAACTTGCCTTTATTTCAGATTATGTTAATGCGGGAAAAGACGGTGAGTTTATATTATTTAAACCCAGGGTTCAAATTATCTTTGCTCATACAGAAATTTTCTAAAGGGGAAGGGTGGGCAATATGGAAACTTTAGGTATCTTCAGATACCTAGGTACATATAATATGTATATTAAAATGCACTCCTTTAGAATTTTTGTGAAAATTTGGTTATAAAAGTGATTCTTACTACAAATTACAGAAAAACACTGCAGTGGTTATGAACTATAGAAGAATAGGTTATGAAGCGGTGATGATGGATAAAATGTAATTTTTCAAAACAAACTGGGAACCATTAGCATTGTGTAAATATTAATATATTGAAATATTTTCTCTATATTCCACCTTTGGAAATGGTAACATGTCTAATAGTGTATAATTAGAAATAAAAATTTTTCATATTGTCTAAAAAATCCCATTTTGTCCGCGTAAGCGCCTAACCCAAACCAAAATCATATGTTTTTATTCGAAAAACGAAAAATGGAGAAACTTCTGCAGTAGTAAATAATATTTCAAAATGACAAGATAGGTAGTATTTCAGGAAGGCGTAACAAGTGAAACCACTTAAAAATTTATCAAAAAATGTGAACAAAAACTAAATTTAGTTTCTTCCTTGGAAACGCTAACAAAAATCGGGTATTTACACCACAGCACCTCTATAGGTTAATTTAGCTTAACAAATAAATTATCTGTAATATAATAATAATAATAATAATAATAATAATAATAATAGTAATAATAGTAATAATAGTAATAATAGTAATAATAGTAATAATAGTAATAATAGTAATAATAGTAATAATAGTAATAATAGTAATAATAGTAATAATAGTAATAATAGTAATAATAGTAATAATAGTAATAATAGTAATAATAGTAATAATAGTAATAATAGTAATAATAGTAATAATAGTAATAATAGTAATAATAGTAATAATAGTAATAATAGTAATAATAGTAATAATAGTAATAATAGTAATAATAGTAATAATAGTAATAATAGTAATAATAGTAATAATAGTAATAATAGTAATAATAGTAATAATAGTAATAATAGTAATAATAGTAATAATAGTAATAATAGTAATAATAGTAATAATAGTAATAATAGTAATAATAGTAATAATAGTAATAATAGTAATAATAGTAATAATAGTAATAATAGTAATAATAGTAATAATAGTAATAATAGTAATAATAGTAATAATAGTAATAATAGTAATAATAGTAATAATAGTAATAATAGTAATAATAGTAATAATAGTAATAATAGTAATAATAGTAATAATAGTAATAATAGTAATAATAGTAATAATAGTAATAATAGTAATAATAGTAATAATAGTAATAATAGTAATAATAGTAATAATAGTAATAATAGTAATAATAGTAATAATAGTAATAATAGTAATAATAGTAATAATAGTAATAATAGTAATAATAGTAATAATAGTAATAATAGTAATAATAGTAATAATAGTAATAATAGTAATAATAGTAATAATAGTAATAATAGTAATAATAGTAATAATAGTAATAATAGTAATAATAGTAATAATAGTAATAATAGTAATAATAGTAATAATAGTAATAATAGTAATAATAGTAATAATAGTAATAATAGTAATAATAGTAATAATAGTAATAATAGTAATAATAGTAATAATAGTAATAATAGTAATAATAGTAATAATAGTAATAATAGTAATAATAGTAATAATAGTAATAATAGTAATAATAGTAATAATAGTAATAATAGTAATAATAGTAATAATAGTAATAATAGTAATAATAGTAATAATAGTAATAATAGTAATAATAGTAATAATAGTAATAATAGTAATAATAGTAATAATAGTAATAATAGTAATAATAGTAATAATAGTAATAATAGTAATAATAGTAATAATAGTAATAATAGTAATAATAGTAATAATAGTAATAATAGTAATAATAGTAATAATAGTAATAATAGTAATAATAGTAATAATAGTAATAATAGTAATAATAGTAATAATAGTAATAATAGTAATAATAGTAATAATAGTAATAATAGTAATAATAGTAATAATAGTAATAATAGTAATAATAGTAATAATAGTAATAATAGTAATAATAGTAATAATAGTAATAATAGTAATAATAGTAATAATAGTAATAATAGTAATAATAGTAATAATAGTAATAATAGTAATAATAGTAATAATAGTAATAATAGTAATAATAGTAATAATAGTAATAATAGTAATAATAGTAATAATAGTAATAATAGTAATAATAGTAATAATAGTAATAATAGTAATAATAGTAATAATAGTAATAATAGTAATAATAGTAATAATAGTAATAATAGTAATAATAGTAATAATAGTAATAATAGTAATAATAGTAATAATAGTAATAATAGTAATAATAGTAATAATAGTAATAATAGTAATAATAGTAATAATAGTAATAATAGTAATAATAGTAATAATAGTAATAATAGTAATAATAGTAATAATAGTAATAATAGTAATAATAGTAATAATAGTAATAATAGTAATAATAGTAATAATAGTAATAATAGTAATAATAGTAATAATAGTAATAATAGTAATAATAGTAATAATAGTAATAA